GTGCTGACAACACCAAGTCAAGGGTTAAGATCCCCTTACCCGTCATCTTTAAAAAAAAAAATATATATATATTTTCTTCAATGATAAATTCACCTTAGATTTACTGTTTTATAAACTTTAAAAATGTTTTTAACTTTTTAACTCTTGTAATAACATTTAGCTTAAAACATATGTACAGCTGTATAGAAATATTTTCTTTATATTCTTATTCCATAAGCTTTTTCAACTTTAAAATTTTTTTGCTTTTAAATTTTTTTTACTTGTTTAACTTTTTTCCTAAAAACTAAGACACAAACACACAGCCTAGACCTACACAGGGTCAGGATCATCAGTATCGCTGTGTTCCACCTCCACAGCTTGTCCCGCTGGAGGGCCGTCAGGGGACGGTAACAGGCATGGAGCTGTCATCTGTGATAACAAGGCGTCTTCTGGACTATTTCGTGATGGACCTGCCTGAGGTCGTTTTACAGTGAATTTTTTTTTTATAAATAGGAGTACACTCAATGACAAAAAGTACAGTATAGCAAATACATAAACCAGTAACGGTTGTTCATTATCAAGTATTTTGTACTACCCATAATTGCATGGCTGTACTTTTATAAGATTGGCAGTGTAGTAGGTTTTCACCAGCATCACCGCAAACATAAGTAATGCGTCTCTCTACAACATCAGGACGGCTATAACATCACTAGGCAATAGGAAGTTTTCAGCTCTGTTACAATCATAATGGGATCACCATCATACATGTGGTTTGTCATTGACCAAAACATCATTATGTGACTGTACCTGGGTCTTGCATTTTTATCTATTCTGCCTCTACCTTTTTTATCTTTTTGCTGGCTGACCTGTAGGGGGATCTGAACCCTCGACCCTGGTTTTATCAACACCACGCTCTAACCAACTGAGCTAACCAGCCAACCTCTACCTTTTAATTGGAGTGTTTATTAACATTAAATGTCATTATATAGTTAGACTTAGGTCTAACATTTCACTTTTTCTGTGAGATGGATTAGTTGATTGTTTTAGAATTGCATTTTAATTTATTGTCTTTTTAGCTATATCCTCTTTCAGCATGTAATTTCTCTAGT